GAAAACGGAGCCTGCAGACCAAGCACGGGGCGAAAACTGGCGCCTGTAGTCAAGTGCGTAGGGCAAAAACCAGCCGTCTGCAGCCTAGACTCAGGGATTAATCCGTCCGCAGGTCAACACACTCACTGTACTCACATGCCAGGAGACGTGGGAAAAGCAACGGGACAACGCGGCACCGCCAGTCGGAAGCAGGGACACACACGGCACCGCCAGACCGTCTGCGCGCGGCAGCAGACCACGAGGAACGAGCAGCACAGGACCCGCGGAGGGGGCCCCGCGGAGCAGCCCGCAGAAGAGCCCGCAGAGGAGAGCAGTGGAGACACGCGAACCACAGCAGGTGCAGGGACACGGAAGAGGAGCAGACCACGAGCAGCCAGACTGAGGACAGCCGGGCCACGCGCAACACGTGAGCAGAAAGCGACCCCTCCAGAACAACGCATGCATTTGCGAACAGGTGCGTTAGCGACATGCACCTTGCAGACTTCAGAAGGCCGGGAAGTGGGAGTCTCCGGCTTTTAACTTGCTGTCCTGGTGGTTATTGGTTGACTGGATGTGGGCGTTGCTGGTATTGATGAGTCGAGGAAGAGCAGCCTGTGGCCTGGGCAGCAGCAGCCGGGTCTACCACAGTGAACTTTCGCGAAAGCTCCATAAGAAATATACAAAATCACCATCTCAGTCACGAATCATCCATGTTCAACACTTCCAATTGTTGTACTCTATTAATGTATAAACTCCACTTTGACCATATCTTCGAGAAAGAATGCATTTGTAGGTGGATTGAAAATGTAAGTTTCTCCATCTGAAATATACCGTTTACAGAATCTGTCCAGTTTTCTAGACCCTGAGGAGCAGGGAGGAGCCAGTGTCGGGTAACAGCTTTTTTGGCAGCGGTTATTAAAATTAGAAATAGGTATTTGTCGTTGTATTTTAATCGTGTATTCCCCAATATCAAGCTAGAGAATTCAAAGGGAATATTCTCGTTGAATACTGATTCTATACCTTTGTGAATATCCCTCCAAAATTGTTTTATGTTCGGGCAGTCCCAAAATATGTGCCAGTGGTTGGGTTCCTGATCACCGCATTGCCTCCAGCACCGAGGCTCATCTCCGCCCCCACGGACCTTCTGTTTTGGAGTAATAAAAAATCTGATTAAACACTTCCAGCCAAACTCTCTCCATGTATGAGAGTTTGTGCATGTCCACAATGATGCACAGTAACCCCGCCATTCTTTATCGGTTATAGATATATTACCTTCGTTCTCCCATTTTGCCTTAACATACTGAGTTGAATATAACTTTTTGTTCATAAAGCCTTTGTAAAGCCGAAAAATTATTCCTTTTTTAGATTTTGCTTTGCATGAGGTTAATATTTCGTGAAGCACAGGTTCTTGTATGTCGCACCCACTGAGAGTTTCCTGATTCATGTAGTTACGCAACTGTAAATATCTATAGAAATCTTGTCTTTTCAGATTATGATTATTCTTGAGGGTTTGAAAGTCTTTCATTATACCCTTTTCTGTTAAGGAGTAGTGAGTGGTCAGACCCTGGGGTACCCATGTGCGGAAGCCCAGATCTATTTGATTGGGCTTAAAGTAAGGATCATAAGCACTCCATCTCACAATGTTAAGGTTATTGTGTAGTTTATATTCCTCTTTAGCCTGTGACCATGTTTTCAGTTGTGCAACAAGCCAGGGGTTTTTAACATTATTTAATATTTTTACTATATTCTTATTTCCTAGTATGGCCTGTAGTGGTGGATCAGACACGAGGGATGTCTCAATGTCCTTCCATCGAGCATGATAGTTCGGGTTACAGATATTTATGAGCGGTTTAATTTGTGCCGAATAAAAATAGTCTCTTAGGTTAGGTACTGCCATTCCTCCTTTCTCTTTAGGAAGTTGTAATGTTCTGAATCTAACTCGTGGGTTTTTCCCCAGCCAAATGAATCTTGAAATTAATTTATCCCAGTGTGAGAACTGTTGTTTTGTAATCTCAGCGGGCAATGCCTGGAGCAAAAAAAGAAACCTTGGGAGCAGGTTCATTTTCACTGTTTCAATTCTCTGGGTTAGGCTCATGAAAGGAATGGCAGTCCACCTCTGTATGTCAGTCTTTATTTTTGAAATCAGGTCCTCATAATTGTGATTGGTTATTGTTGCAATATACTTGGGAATAACAATTCCCAAGTATTTTATTGTGGTTAAATCCCATTTAAGTTTTATTTCCTCACGCAGTAGGTTTGGGGGGGTAAAATTTAGGGTCATTATCTGAGTTTTACTCACATTAAGTTTGTATCCTGCATAGCGCCCAAATGTTTTTAAGCAATGGAATAGTTAAAATAAAATGAAAAGATTGATTTGAATGATACGTCTTGAAGATGGTTTTAGAACAAAAACAGATCCGTTACTCTCTGAGTCAAATGTAAAACTCAGAGAGTAACAGACTTTCTGAGTTTCTCCGGTTTCTCTCTGGTCTCCGGCATCACAAAGGTGTTCTGAGGGAAAAGCATTTAATTGTGTGTGTTTGTCTCTTTGCATATGTCTCTCTCTGTGTGTCCATATGAGTCATGGAGCTATTATATTAACGATATGAGTGTATGTCTCTCTCTCTTCCTCTATAACTGTGTGTGTGTGTGTGTGTGTGTATATGACGTTAAAGGAGCTATACCCGTTTCTGTAAGGTTTGAATGTTTAGCACCGCCCGATAACTCGCTCACAGGCTTCTCATTTCCCCTACACTCTCATCCAACTGAGCCATCTAGTTTTATTTGCGATCTATTTGCAAACATTAGCATTAGCACAACTTCTTGTAAGCTGTACAACAATCACAGATGAAATGGTACAAAAGCAACGCACTGCTAACAAAATATATAACTGAAAGATTACCGCTAGTTTCGAATACTTAATTCTATTTTATCATACAGCTCCTCACAGCAGCAGTAAAACGCTCCATTGACTTGAATTTAATTTCAAAACATTCTACTGATCATTTTTTCTTGAAAACAGAACTCTCAAACCAATAATGATGCCCTTTGGCAACGCAATCTCTGTTTGTAATTCAGGTGTGTAAAATACTAACATTATCAGCAAGTACAACAAGCTTTCAGCGCCTGTCACTACTTCTGTCTGTGCAGAGAAGCTAGCGGCGCTAGCCACGCTCAATAAACAAATACCAATCAATCAATCAACACCTTTAAATGTTAATCAGAGAATACTGTATACATATACATCCTTAACACACATGCACGGAGGTTTTCAGAATTATTTGTTAACGTTTTCATGACAAAAATACTGTTTAAATGTGACAAAAAGCGATAGCGACAAACCTGGAAGTAACCATTAACATGAAACAAACATTTTAGGACACATTTGATCTGATTATGGATTTAGGTTCGGTATATAAATGGGTAACTCACCGCTGATGTTCAGAATTCTTTGTTCAGTTTTCATGTAGTTCCAGAGAGTCTTTGAACTAGCTAGCTTAGCTGTTACCTGCCTAGCACGTCACGGTGAAACCTTTGGGAGCTAACTATTTTATTTGCAGTCATTAAATACATTTCGAATTATAAGGGCTGTCTAATATTCGTTCGAATACATATATATATTTTTTTAATTTTCAAATAATATTTGAATTTCAAAGGCCCTAGTGTTTTGCAGCGCTGTAGAGACTAGAGGATGTGGCTTAATCGCCCCTTGTTCTGTGATTGGAGGAGAGCAAGTGTCACGCCAAGCCTCTACTCTGCACTTTTTAAGGCCTGAATTCTTACACAGCTGAATCAATGAGCTCAAGTTTTCAATTAAATTACGAATTATAATACAACTTGTATGTAATAATAAGAATTTTTATGAACTCATTAGAAGAAAAAAAAATCAGGTGTCACATTTTGTGCCGTAACATCAGGTATGGCTTCTTTAACCCACTAGTTATACCATGGATCTATTATAATATCTGGATAGGGTGTTACTAGCTTGGAGCTGAAGGACCCACGTGCTCGGGGGATTCTCGCGGTACTGCAGACTAAACCAGACTAATTAGCGGAGATATTTGCGGAAGTCACCTGGAACTCGCAAAGATCCATGGGAAAGCGCCTGTATTTGGGCATCGTCTGGTCCTCCCGGTTCTGCGCAGTGGATGATTCTCCCATGATGCGTTGCGCCAAATACGAGTGTGTGGCTCTCATGCACGTGCACAGAGGGGCCCAGCCGCGCTCTGACCAATCAGAGCTGCTCATCAGAGCGGGAGTCAGAGCGGAAGCCAGACGAGCAGAGTTTGTGGCAGTAAAGAGTGGATTTAAAGAAAACCAAAGGATTTAAGAAGAAAAAAAGTTCAGGATGACAAGGGACACTAAAATCCCCACAAAATCTGACCTTTATGAAAGCTGTAGGTTCTCTGTCAGGTTCTCTGTCAGCTGAGGTCGAGCTGTTTTAGTTTACATTGAGTTCTATGGGGAACATTTCTGGTTAGCCCACGTGTATTTAGTCTGGTTTAGTCTGCAGTACCGCGAGAATCCCCCGAGCACATGAGTTATTCAGCTACAAGCTAGTAATACCCTATCCAGTTATTATAATAGATCCATGCACTGAGCACAAACCATTCATTTGAATACGGCGCCATCTTGGATCGCCGGGGTTTAAGTTAAATGCACGTGCTAGCTTGTTCTTTAACGGCTGATACAGCTAACATTCCACTATCAGCTTTTAACACTTTATCAACAAAACACACTTTATATTGAGACTGTAAAAAAAAATTATTAGTCTGACAAAACATAACTTTCAAAAGGATATTCTTCGGTTCGGTCAATATTTCTCTCCTTAACTTACTCACCACAGGGCCGTCAATGTTAACGTGATATGATTATTGATCCATGGTTGACTGACACACCCTACACAGCACCTGTCTCACAGAAGACACTTTAGAGATCAACTTTAGTCTTTCAAAGGCGCTTCAGTAACTTTTGCGCTGCGTTCATGGTGCATCGGATAAATAAAACTCTGCGGTGTGTTTATGGACAGTGATGTGGTGTCTCCAGGTGAGCAGACCCTTCAGGAGTTCCAGACCTCAGTCCTGAGCTGTGGAGACACATCCTCCTCAGACGTCCTTTGCACCGGGGTCTTCACTCTGGACCAGGTGAGGTGTGGACCAGATGAGGTCCTGAATCTGGTGTTACAGGAAAACTGGCTTTAATCATGTTCTCGTACCCTTGTTATTGTTAACATGTTACG